GACGGTGTCAAATGCTTTACTGAAATAGAATGCTTCAGCTTAGCAATATCCAACATCACAGAAGAAATTTATGGTAGATGTCCACCAAAGGTTGCCTTTCTCCTGTAATCCTCTCCATTCAGCCAGCAAATTCCAAATGGCAGAACAAGTGGGACAAGGCCCTTCGCATGACTTTGTATCAGCCCCTGACACTAACCTGGTACATGGAATGGCACTGGTTTTCTGGAGAACTGCCCCAGAAGAAGTCCCCACTAAAATTACAGACTGAATTTATCATTAAATCCAACCCTTTCTTTGACGTAGGAGAAACTTCAACTGAACTAGATTAATTTGGTGTATCATAATGTGTTAGCAGAGCTGAGACATTTAACCATCTTTCTTGCCCCGCACGTCCCTTCCCAGACGTCAGCTTTTGATCACTGACATGATTAACTAGTAGCACCATAGCTGTAAATCCCAGCAGATGCTCAGTATTTTGGAGGAGACGTGAAATTTACTAAAGGGATTACCAGATATTTGCTACACAGAGGTTCAGTAATCCTGAATTCTATTCCAGATTTCCAATACTGATCAGATGCACAATGTACACTGCACATTTATTTTTGGAGTTAAATTGAATGGAAAGAATGGCTCGGCATGCAAACTGATTGCAAACAGAAGTGCTGTATCATAAATTGACATGACAATGGTCTGTAACCAAAGCTACATAAGGAAAGACAGGTAGCTGAAACACACACAATGATTTTATTTGAAAAGAATAACCAGCTTGGGCCAACAATTTAGTGAAGCCAAAAAACCTCCAGAACTCTCCACTAAACTCATGAATATAATAAGCCCACAGCTGCTCTGGAGAATAACAAACCAGTTACAGAAAACATTGTTTAAGCCTCCTAGACTAAAAAAAAAGCAAAAAGCAGAATGCCTGCTTTGCTTCCTTCATACCCTGGAGCATGACCTTCCGTGGAGCATGACCACGAGAAAGGCATACAGACAAGTTACTGGGAGAGCTGGCTGAAGAGCCATAAAGCAAACCAACTTTCATCTGCTGTTGATTTCTTCATGTTTGGGGTGACAGGATTTTTATACTACTGGTAAATAAAATAAATTTTTGGAATTCTGTTTTATTATCATCACACATCTCTCTCTCTCTTATAGCCTTGAACTATGAGAAAATACTCAAGTAATAAAGGGCCATACCAATTCAGTTAAATAAATAACTTTTTGAAACTATGGCTATGGGCTATGCCTCCTAGTAATTGCTTAACCTTGTTTTCAAGAGCTTTCACCATCAGGCTCCCGCAAAAAAACAGTATTTTGTGTGGCTCTACTCTGAGATTATGCCACATAATACTCTACTCCAAAATCAAGGTGTCCTACTCCATACATACAACAATCTTAAGCAGTGGATCACAGCTGAACCTAGAGAAGAAAATTGCTGCCATGGAATTATGTCCTCAGAAATGGGTTACAACGCACTAAGTATCAAGGTATTTTGGCTGCAATCCTGTTACAAATCAGAAAGGGGTTTCTCTCAGCAGCCAAAGTTTTATGAACTGCAAACTCTATTAGAACAGTCTAAAGCAGCTGAAAGAAATTACATTCTCAGAAACGTTCCAGAAATATTGGGGGTTTTTTTCCATTATTTTTTTACCTTCACCATTCTGCTTTCCTTAAATCACTACTGTATTAAATAAGGAAAAAAAATTCTGATATTTGCGTAGCTCACATCTTAGAACAGCATTTGTAATTAATACAAACCACATCACGAAACTAAGCATTTTCTATAAGCACCCCAGGAATTCTAACAAGATAAGCCAGCTGCACAATTATCTGGCAGACTTGGGTTAAGAAGCGATTTCAGCATTCCAATTCTCAGGCAGGTGCTAACACATGTAAAGTATAACAGAGTGGTCGGCTTTTAAGAGAGATCAAGTGCATGCTACAGCTCAAAAGTGCACTTCATTGTGCAGAGTTGGGATGGATAGTTGGCCACGACTGAATATCTTACTACACAAGTGGAAAAAAGTCAAACTGAGGCAACAGTTAAAGGTGGGGAGAACAAAGCTAAAAAGGACAGCACACTTTGAAAGAATAGTACATTTCATTCTAAGTAAGTACACATAACAAACAGAAGAAATTCATACTTTCACATTTAAAGATACCGTTCTCTCCTAAAGTGTTCCCTCTTTTATAGCGTTCGGAATCCAGAAATTTTTCAGTCTCTCCTATACATTGTACAGTGGGCCCTTCTTTAGCTTCATCCAGCTCATTAACTTTCCAGTTTGTACTTTTCTCCTTGCCATCATGAACGGTAGCCTTTTGAGATATCTGTACCTCAGAGATGTTTGATTTGATCCCCAGCCCCCACCCCAATGCCTTAACATTGCTTACCTCCCCAGCTGAATCGATGGACTTGCGCCCTGTTTCATCAGTGCTCAATTTCAAACCCTTCTGCACTGGTGAAGGAGCAGGTGACACTTTCTCCAGCTCTCGTGGTACCATTTTTACTTTTTCTTGACCTTTTTGCCTTTTGTGCATGTTTTTCTTCTCTAGATAGATATCCTGAGTTTCCACTTTTCTACCTTCCTCTTTATAAACTTCAGCTTTCCGCATTTTTTTATTCTTTCTTTTAACATTAACAACAACGCTATCATCTTCATTACTTGCTGATCCAGCAAAATGTCTATCAGCAATGGAATCTTCTTCAGCAATTTCTTGTTCCAATCTGTCTTCTCCACTTACTACCTTTTGCTTCTCATCTTTATTTTCAGAAATTAAGTCTGAATTTTCATTATCAGTTCCTTGAGAAAATACATTGTCTAGAGTACTTGATTCTGAGTCAAACTGAACATCTGTATGCTTTTCCTTCCGTGATTTTTTATTTTCTTTAGAATCTTCTTTAGATTTTATTTTTACATCTTTAACTTCTCCCTTCTTTTTCTTGACTTCTTTAGTATCTTCTTTCCTTTGCTTCTTTGGGTCCTTTGAATCCTCCTTGGTTTCTGCAGTCCTTTTTTTTGGTTTTGAATCTGCAACCAAAGTATCTGAGGAATTTTCACATTCTGTTCTGGGTTTTTCTTGGAGTTTCACAGACTTAGACCTTTTCTTCTTCAGATCATCTGGACTTCTATCCTCTCCATCTTTTGACTTCTTCTTTTTCTTCTTCAGTGAAACATCATCTTTTGTTTCATTTTGCCAGTCACTGTCAGATTCTGCTTCAAATACATCATCATTTAGAGATGATAGTTTCTAAAAGGTAGGGAAAAAAAGAAAATATTTCTTTCCCCATTAAACTGTATTAAATGGTGCTTGGGATCTCTTTAAACACTGCAAACATTATTCCTCATTCCCAAACTGTAAAATTTGTAAATACAATTCTAGCTCACTTACCTAAATTACATTATTAACTGCTTGGATGAGAATCAACACATAAGTCAAGAAAACTAATCCAACATCCAACAACTAGATCCCAGAAGAGAACTAAATCTGAACTATTTTACATCAAAACCAGTTAACTTTATTTTGTAAAATTTACCTACAGGTTTCCTAGAAGTAGGGTACCAGTTTTCAAAAAAGATTCTTATGGTTGCTTTTGAAACTGACTGAGCAATTTAAAAAGAAAAGAAAAAGCCATATGCTGCCTTCTTGCAATTCATTTTTCTGTATTCCTATCTTACCTAATTTAATGATTAACAGGCAAAAATTCATCAATCTGCTACATAAAGCAGAAGGGTGAATTGAGCTGTGCCCAATTTCAGTGACAAGATAATACACATGTGGGAATGAAAAGGGGGTTGTTCATGCTGTCAAAAACAAACTAAAATGACCGTACACCATTTATACAGTCCCATTAAAAACGGAAATAAAGTTTAGATTGATTTGGAGCCTACAAGCAAACTTCTCAATTAACAAAAAAAACCCTAACCAGAGAGCAGTAACAATACTCAGTTTCACCTGAAACAAAACACCTGCAGATGAAGAGATTCTTTGAGTCTTAATTCCATATCCCAAATGTCTTCCCTTCTCCCTCCCCCGACTAGCAGAGCCTAGATAGGGAATATGTCTTCAGTGTAAGATACTGGAAGGTGAAACACACCTGTATGTCTTTTTTAACGGGTTTAGGCTTATTGTCCACAATATTTTTTCTGAATTCAAGCAGCACTTCTTTGCAGTCTTCCAAATGAACCTCTGGTTCCCAGGTATCATCATCAGAGGTATATCCTTTCCACCGTACTTTATAGAGAATTTTACCCTGTAAGGAAAAAAAAAATACAACAGCATAGTATTGCATCATCCACTCAATTATTGGGGATCTCAGTAGAGATATCATTTTGTGTATAAAGAAATTAATATATGGGAGTGCAACCCACTGTTTACATAAAAATTCACAGAATTATTTCCATCTGCATCACATACTGAATTAGGTTTTACAATGTTTCAGTAGCTGGAGTGGTTTTATCGAAAATATTTGTAGTATTTAAAATTCGTTCAGAACCACAGCCACACCATACACAAATCATAAATTCCCAATCATTTCACTGAAATGGATTTTCTGACAGTTATGAAACTAAAGTTTTAATATTTCTTCTATAAAAATTTCAAGCTTGAATTACTTCTCTTTGCTGAAGAACTTGATGTAAAACACGAGGATTTATAATACATTAACACCATTCACCTAGTTTTATGTTGGAATTTATAACTTATGTTAGATTTGTAATCAATGCCACTTTTGATAAACTGAAATACCAACAATCAGGAACAAAAACCAACCTACCAATGAGATCAAGTTAAGCCTTGACAAAATCTGAATGTGTGCATCTCAATGGAGTTAGTTACAAAGATTTTGGTAAAAAACTACATCTGAAAGCCCTAGACCAATTGTCTCAACAGTATCTAACTTCACCATAGGACGAAACTGCACCTTTCAGTCTCTATCTTGAGGGGTTTTTTTATCACTAGATTAGAAAGTCTTTTACCATTAAAAAAAATTAAAAGCTTTCCACCAAATTCTCTCTTGCCTTTCTCCTAAATAAATTAAGTAGTCTGAATCCTTATATTTCTCAAGATGGACTCCTTTTCTCACTACTAGCTTTGACTCAGCATGCTGCTGATACAGCTAGACAAGTGGTAAACTTGGGGCCTCCTGCACCAAGCTTAACTGGAAAGCAGAGACATATCCTATGAAACCAACATAGTCACTTTTACTGATTAAACGTGCAGCCTTTTTAAACAAATGTATGACAAAGGCTAGCACCAAGATTAAGAAAATCCATTTTCCATATAAAAAAAGCTAATAATGAATACCAGGCAACATGGCCATTCCTGAACTTGCTCTCTAAACAAAAAAAAAGTATTAGCAAATGTACTAAGGAAAAGACCCTTGGAGAGGCAATATAATCGTGCCTCTTTCTTTCTGAAACGGATTGATAACACTGCAAAAGATCCTATACTGCTAACCAAGCCTGAATAAAGCAAGCTTCAGAAGAACTGCCACTTGACACTTACTATTAGATGTACTGGTATCCACAAATTTCCATTTTTGCACGAGCACCATTAACCTTTTACCAAGTGTATATATATATGCCATTAAACTTTAGCAATCAATGCTACTTACAGTCTTCTATATTTTGCTTCACAGACATATAAATAAATAGCCTATATTCAGATACATTAGTATAATACACCTCCTCTTATAATTTAGCTTAACCATACACTCTTGATTCAGGAATCAGTTTTCAAAATCATGTTCACTTGTCTCTCTTTCTTTCTTCTAATGGGGTTACTCATGAAAGAAGTGACTAGTAACTTTCTTATTACTGTGACAGAATAATTTAGTTTATAAGGGATCTCCAGAATTAACAAGTAAAATGCCCTGCTCAAAGCAGGACCAACTAGATCAGGCTGCTCAGAAATCTGCCCAGTCAAGTTGTATCTATTCAGGTTTCCGTGTGTTCCGGCTTGTGTCCACTGCCTCTCTCCTTTCACTGTGCACCTCTGAGAAGGATCTGACTCCGTACTCCCTCCTATTAAGTCAATACTATGATCACCCCTGACTCTTCTCTTCTTACAGCAGAGCAAACCCAGCTCTCTCAGCCTCTCATGCTCCAGCTCCCTTGACTATCTTCATAACCCTTTACTCCAGTATGTCCACGTCTCTTCTGTTCTGGGGAGCTCAGAACTTGTCACAGTACCCTGCATGCATCTCAGCAATGCTGAGAAGAAAGAAAGAAGCATCTGCTTTGATCTGCTGGCTACACTCTTGGATGCTGTTGGCCGCTCTTGCTGCAAGAACTGCTGACTCATGTTCAGCTTACTTGTCTGTGGGGACTCCCAGCTCCTCTCCCGCAAATCTGCTTTCTGCTTTCTAGCCAGCCGGCATCTCACCTGTCTGGTGGTACAGGGTTATGCTTTTTCAGATGCAGGACTTCAGTAAGCTGCAGAGTTACTGTTATACCCTTGTAACTGAGGTGCAAAATGAGTTATGAGTTCTTTTTTAATTCATTTAGAAAATTGGATAAAATAAAGTCTAATGCAAGACTGTCTGATGAACAACTCTACATCCAGTATTCAGAGAGTGACAAAAAAATGCAGCTTAAGTGAAGACAGGAGATCTATCATCACACCAAAGATACATCCACAGCCTTACACTCACCTTTCAGCATTTTACTCAACATTGTTACTTTTTCTTCTGTATCACTTGGAAATAACAGAACTCTTCCAAGCATTTTTATATTGCTGTACCTTCTACAAGAACTACTGATTGACTAGAACCAACTCCTCGGGAAAGGGGTATCACCATGTCACTAAAGAGCAGAGTTAAGGTCACGCATCTCCCCTGGGGAATGTCACAGTTTGCATTGGAGCCTGTTATTTCAGTAGAATTTTAGCGCAGTATGAGAGGCTTTCTAATACTGAGAGGAAATATTTCCAAACTTTTGCTGCTTATTCTCTTAAGTAGGAGGTGTTAATGTTTCATTTATCAGCAGGTCTAACTACCCTGCCCAATCCCATCTGAGGACTGCTGTCTCTCTCATGCTGCCACTACTACCAGCTTCAGGACTGCGAATGACAAGAGCTTCTCTGTGCGGTGCCGGCCAGCTCTCCCACTTCTGCAACCATGACACAGGAGCACACTGACCGGCCTTACGCTGGACAGTGGCCGACTCAGTGTACCTGTCTGGCCTCTGTATCACACTTGGGAATCTGCAAGCTGGGAACCACTAGTCTAAAGCAGACTACGTAAAATATACTCCACTGAATATAACACACAGCTTTTTTCAGCCATTTTTGGAAGTTAGGACTGGGTGTGAGCATCTGTCTTGCCCTGTATTTCTGAAGCACAGGAGCATGGCCTCCATTTAAGAGAAACAGAAAGATGACCTGATGCAACTGGAGCTACAAAGCCACAAACAACACAAATTGGGTGTGGCACACGCATACAGTAAAGCTAACTGCACTGACCCTGCCTGGAAACCTCCAGTACAAACACCTCAGAATTCGCTGCAGAATGGGCTGCTCAAAGGAAGAGGATGAGGATAGGGAGAAGGGCAGTAAGACACCTTTTTACCAGCCCAATTCCAATGACATTTTTAAGAGATGGTACTTGATCTATTCTGGTAATCTTCGGAGTGTGTGGAATGGTATAACTCTCCCCCCTCCCCCAATACAGAGTTTTTAGGTTCCACTGTTGAGGGCGGAGGGAGGGGATAAAAAAAAATTAAAAAGAAAAAAAGAGGTCCTCTTGTTTTCAAGCCTAACTTATTTCTTCGACCAACACTTCCTACTTGTAAAGCTATAAGTATTGTATTACCTTGAAAGCATAGCAGTCTTAAGCCATCAAGATATTTCAACGTAATCACGATAGTATCACAAGTATACAAGAAGTTCCTGATCTGAAGGTTCTCCAACCTAAGGGTTTCAAAACCTTAAACGGGCAGTATTCTATACTATCGTGTACCTGCCTGACGCCTAAAATAAAAACCATAAATCAGTTAAAATAAACAATTTTCAGACACAAAAAAATCAAAAGAAAAAAGCTGCATTCATTATTTTTTGTATTTGAGGTTTACTAAATTTTGGAAAAACCAGGCTGCTTTCAAAGAAAGAAGGTATGATACTTCTGTCTAAACAAAGCAAAGATCACTACAGCTAGTTATTTTAATTGGAAGAAGTTTCCCTTATTTTAAGAGGTCTTCACACATTTTATAAGCCAATAAACACAGTCCCGCTAAACATACCTTGAAACCACCTCCAAGTCCTCCATTATATGCAATCCTGCCCATTTCTGTACTCCAACAAAACACTACTGCAGTTCAGCCATAAGAGCAAAGAGTACTTTAAAATGCAGACAAAAAGCTTAGTAAAGATACTCCAGATTTAGTCTTTTTGGCCAAAACTGTAAGATACAAAAAGCTTGCTTGCAAAATTACGCATAACATGTTTTAAATTACAATTACAACGGAGCTACTGTTTTTGCACGGTTCTCCCCCAAGCATAAAAGAACCGTGCAGGACAATCAGCCCGCCCAGCCTGGCCGCACAGACCGA